TTATAAAATTTTAAAAATGCACAGTTTTTATTATAAAATTACTATGATAAATTTTTTCAATAAATTGATCGACAAAACTTTAAAAATCTTTATTAGTGAGCCAATCATATAGTGCTGCACTATGATAGTAAATCATTTGGTATGAAACACCCCACTATCGCACTGAGACTTGAAATCTAATAATACACTTTTCAAAACGTTTAACGCACTGATAGCCTGCACAATCCCCCCTACTTCGAGAATTTCGAGAAGTATTAGAGGTTAGCATCGAAATACACACCGAAAAGTAAAAATTATCGTTATGCAGAGTGACTAATACTAAATAAATTTAGGCTATCGTCCTGTTGTAACAGGTATTTATTTATAAGAAATTTATCACGCCACTTTTCTATTAAGTCATTTTTAGCAGAACGGAAATGTGTAAATAAGATTTATTGGAGGCACTTTTGATATTAGTACCTAAGTACTAATATTGAGATGCTACACAAGACAAAATTTGAAGAGTTATATTCATCGATTTTTTCCTCCTAACATACACAAAATTATTTATAAAATTTATTAATGATTATCGCTACTAGAAATCTATTCAATTCTTTGAAGGTAAAAAGGGTTATACTGAATATATCTTCAAAGTAATTAAGAAAAGTAGATCTTATGAAATTCTTAATATTTTTCACTTTATCACTTTCTAATCGTGAAATGATAAAAAATATAATGATAACGAAATAGCGAAGATGAAATAGCGATATTAAAATAGCGATAATAATAAAAAAGCAAATATAAATATATATAACAAGATAAATGAAAAATAAAAATATATATAACAAGATAAATGAAAAATAAAAATATATATAACAAGATAAATGAAAAATAAAAATCCTAACGGTAACTCTTGTGATCTCCTAAAGTATACATAAATTTGAAATACGTATTATAAATTACCAAAATAATCTCCTTGGTAAGATGATTCTAACAAGCCTAAAATTACCTAAATCCAATCACTGAATCCTAAAATAATAAGAAATTTATATACGATCATTTTCTCCTTGAGCTCGAGTTCGTCGACGTAAACGCTTCTTTAACAAAGGTCTTATTATTTGACAATTATTGAAAGAGAAATTTTTTATTTTTTTGTCGAAACAAAGAATATGCAAGTTCAAATATTTTTCTTAGCTGACGTTCCCTTACGCGTAATATTATTTTTGTATATCTCTTTACTTACTGCAAAATAGCAGATTGTTTTTCTAACTCTTTAAGCTCCTTTTGTTTATTTAACAGGTTTTGTAGTTCATCTGGAGTAAATTTAGTTTGCAAAAGAGTTTTGCAAGTAACCAGTTGTCCCTGTAGCTGCCCTTGAGTATAAGAATTACTGCTTACATTTTCTGAATCAATAATTTGTTTGTTAGTCTGCAAGAAAAGATCTAAAATGGCAGTTAAGCTATCACCTGCTTTATTTTTAGTGGTAGATGTTAATTGTTCAAAGTGGTTTTTTTGTTCTTGAAAATGGGGATTAAAATCTTTCAATTTAAGTTTTTTAATTTCTTGTTTTAGTCTATTAAAATCAAGATCAGTACAGCTCAAAACTATGTTATTTAGTTCTTGAAATTGACTAAGTGTAGGTGTTTGTTGAATCTTTTGATTTAAATCAGCTATAGTTCGATCTTTTTGGGCTATAGTTTGATCTTTCTGGACTATGGTTTGATCTTTTTGGGCAATAGATTGTTTTAAATTCGCAACTTCAGCCTCTAATTTTTTATCTTCGACTAATCTATATGGTATAATTGTTTGCTTTCTCAAATATTTCTCTATTTTTAACCATGAACCTTTATTTTCATAATAAGATACAATTATTCTATCAAGTTGTATTTCTTTAACTAGCAAAGTAAAACTATTACTTTCCAAAAAACCACTGTTTTGTCCATCTATTACGATTCTGCTTAATTTTTCATTTTTACTAATATCTATACTTTCTAAAATATTAAATCGAATGGCATAATGAAAAGTGATTTTATGGAAATTAGGAAAAGATCCTAAATCTAATTCGCCATTGAGCTGTTGTCCAGAAGCATTGTAATCGTTGATATAAAGTTCCTCGCCCGAAATGTATGGTTGGCTTTGAGATTGGTTAAAATATATATGCTTCGTTCCTGTCTTTTGATCATCATTCAAGTGATTAAATATCGTTTGTGCCATAATTGAGTTGATTTCAAATTATAATTTTATTGTTGCTCAATAGCCCTTTTATTTATTTATTTTAGTCGTGAAAATAAAGTTCATTACAAAGTGTCTGATTCCAAACCACATATTTATTGATATGCAATGCGTATAAGCAATACATATATGTAGTTGGTGCATCATGTGAGTCGGCGTATCTCCAGAAAAAACTAAAAAGGAAACAATGAATAAAAAGAAGAGAAATACGAACACCGGTTTGGTTGATCTAAATGCTTATATATTTTCTTGCGCCTGTATGTCAAATACATACAGATAATGTTTATTTAAATTATTACTTTTAGCCAGTCAATAAATCTAACTTACAATACCCTTAAAACAGTTCACGTTAGTGTGCTAAGCAAACCAGATTGTTTATTCTTAGTTCATGTATCTATTTGATATGCGGGTTTTACATACCTAATTCGAACAAAAGGTATTTTGTCCAAATTAGATGTATGAGGCCTGTAAATAATCTGACGCCAAAAGAACCTGTATTTCACATTCTTGTGCATTTTGATAGTTTTTTGTGTAGATTACGGAATTCAATTTCCGATGATATTAAATAGCGTTATCAAATGCATAAGAATGTGAATTTCAAATTCTCTGAGAATGTTAAAATTAAGCTTAATAATGTAAAATAATAGATCTTGAATAAACATTGTTTTAATGGATGAGGAACTCACCATTTTTCCGTGTAGGAATTAACCTTTTTTTTTTAATCAGATTCTGTTGGCTTGGAGTATGTATATAATCATTTACTCTGGAGAACACAGTACTAGTTTGTATGCATAAGTTCAGCAATTCTTAATTTTTCCTAAAATTTTATTGAACTGTACCAATTTTAAAAATCCTATATTTCTGCTGTTAGGCAAGTAATAATATAACGACACGATTCACATATAAAAATGGTTTAATGAAGTTGTGAAGTTGAATGAAAATCTGTGACTACACTTAATGATTTACTATGTACACCATCAAAGTATTATTACGCCGAACTACCTTTTATAAGTGCGGTTTATAACGGATATTGTATACGTTTAAGGATAATTGCAGTTGCGTATCGAGTCATTCGTGTATGGCGACATGATTACTCTATTTATCGAGTTGCAGGAAACTACCAATTCCCCCTAAAATATCATTATTTATACCCTGGCCACTATATCAGAATCGCAGGGTATAAATCAGTAATACTCTGGGTACTATGTGTATGGCGGAAATTCCACAAACCTAGTATACCCTAAAAAAATTACGAAACTGGGTTTAAATTTAAAATGCAGATTTAATTATACAGTAATAATGATGACGATTATATTGTATTAATGATTGATTCTTAATCAAAAATTTTTTGCTTTTCACTCAAACGTTACTGATTAAATTATACAATGCCAAATGAAATAATCAAGCAGAGCCACTCGCTTAAAAACGTCGAAGAATTTTCTGAAGAAAGAAGGAGTAATGAGTGCTTATAGCGTGCAAGAACAAATTCAAAACGGCGATATGAAAGAGAATAAAAAAAAAGTTTTTAACTCAAACTTCTATTTCTTAAATAATCTAATAAAAGCCATTGATATATATGTATATTTAACTATAAATTAAAGATATATCGAAATAAAACCTATCTGATTATATCCAAAACTGATCAAACCAAAATTAGCCAATCATGATTGAGAATTATTTGTCATTAGAATTTATTATAAAGTTATTGCAATATCTACATGTTTATTTATAATTAAAAAGGCCGTTTGCCTCAAAATTGCTGCCGAATTCTTCTACAACACCGATCATTCTCAATGACAAACCGATCGTTCACTAGTGATTTCTTTACGACTTAATGTAGCTGTATTTTAGTATTTATTGCTGATTTATCTCATACATAAGCTAAAAAAAACTTTTTTTATTGAATGTTTCGTTTATACCACGTCACTTAGTGGCAAAAGTTCGTGTAACTGTTTATCGAAAAAAATACCCCTAAAATCAAATCGGCGGATATGAAATAAATTCCAGAAATGATGAAAATTCAGTTGAAAATTGAAATTGTTTAACGGTTATCAAAAATATTAAATGAGTATACTATATTGATAATTAATAATTTTAATATAGTACAAATATAAATAAGATTTTATATAGGCAAACACTTTTATTTTTAAGCCGTCTGAGCTTCTTTAGCAAAAAAAGTGGCTAAAAAATATCGGACTAAATTTTAAACCAGGTTAATAATTTAAAAGGTTTTAAAATGCAAAAAATGCAAAAAACTTGGGCAGAAAGAAATAAAAATACATTTTTTTGGGAATAAATTACTATATTTTTGTTTTTATATTTACAAATAATTTGTCAAAATAGCTAATACAAACATTCAAATGCATAAATTTATTCTGAAAATTCATTATAACGAAACAATTAATACATACAAGTGACTCTCGATATAAGAAACCTTCGATACAAGACTAATTAAACTCTCGATATAAGAAAGTCAAACCAGTCTATAATAAATCCACTCGATATAAGAAAGTTATTAATAAACTTTTGATATTGTAAAATTTTTACTATTGAACCAAACACTTTTCTTATATCGAGATTCACTTGTATATATATAATCAAATTACTCAAATTTGACATTCAAATTGTAGTGTATATAAATTTTCAATCTAATTTTCTACTATAGAACAAAGTGTAAGGGAGAATATGGCTTTTTTACTATTGAGTCAAGCGTAAGGGAGAATATGGCTTATAATTCTTGTAATTTTGAAGAGTGAAAGAGTGATGGCGCGATCCGATTGTAAGATCAGTGTGTAATATACAAATGCGAAGTAAAAATTAAAGGCGAAAAAAAAACAAGAAACCACAAAAACTCATAAATTCGCAAGGAAAATTAGCCTTTTGTTATTAATAAAAGTTTTCGGTACAAAAATTTAGATATATTCTTTCTACTTTGTATCAAGGCAAACATTAATTTTTTAGACGAAAATTAAGATATCATTGTTTTGTTCCATCAGTATTTCACTCAATTTTGAAAATGGAACTTTTTGTTCTGAAAATTTAAACTCAGTTTCGGAATTTTTTTTTTTTAAGGGCATACTAGGGCGATTCCCAACTACCCAGGATATAACTATTACTTGTTAGCCACATGATAATACAACTACAGGGGCTAACAATAATCTAGCTACAGGATGTAAGAAAGTGCTAAACATGTGATTTCTCGGTAATATAGCACCAGATCATTAAACGATGAATTTACCTTCCATATCAGAAATTTTAGAAACAAAATAACTTGTAGCGTCACATAATTTTTGTGATGATGATCGGTGAAAATTTGAAATTTTAGATTGTTGTTTTATATTTCCGATCGGTAATGTTTATATTCTTAAAATCGATACAGTAGAATCTCCGATTCCCACATGACATCGTGATCTGCAGAGGCCACATCTTTTGCAAAGTGCAATAATGAAATCGACCTGACGACTTTAATAGAAAATCGACCAATAATTTGCTATAGCGTAATCGATTTTTTATTATAATTAAAATCATATTCGTGCTTATGAAAATGCCTTCTGAGTTTTAGAAAAAATCTCTACCATAGCCCTAGTCCCGATAGTCCTAATTACTAATTACTGCATGACTGCTCTCAGCTTGGTTCAATCCATAAGGGCGGATTTACACACAAATTTTGGGGTAGTGACCAACTAGTTGGGGTGGAACATTCAATAGACTTTAATAAACTCATTACATTACATACGTACGTACATATCAGTTGATCGAGATGATTAAATTTTTACTATGAAATTTGTTTATTACCGGTATTTTTTCCAAGTCCCAGTAATCAGTTAAAGGGTGGGGTAATCAGTTAGACGCAGCTTTCATTAATGATTTTTTTATTTTGAGGGTGCTTTGTAGGACGTACAGATCATTTGACCATTCGCATTATTAAGATTCAGGGGTCATTACCGTTAAAATTAACTATCGTTTATTATTTTTAGGGATACAAAAAAAGCCCAATTAATTAAATCCGTCCAAATGCTCATCATTGTTGACGTGATAATACGTAATCGTAACTTTCTTTGTAAAAAATTATTCATGATTGAGTTAGAATATTGAAAAATATATAAGACACACTATATAACAAAAAACAATTATCAGTTATTGAATAAAAAATAACATCTGTAGATATCGGATTATTAATTTTATTAAAATTCACAATTTCTTTACATCGACTTCTCTTACATTTTATTTTGAAAATGAAAAAGGTTAACACATAAATTCTCAAATACTATAGTTATCACTTAAGTCTACGAACTTTATCAAGGACTGTTTCAAACTCAATATCATTAATTTCGGTGCCCTCAATTTGAAATGTGATTCCAAGTTTTGTTCCCAATACTTGTTTACTTGCAGCAGCGAGGACTTTATCATGGATATCGGCATTTGCAGGAATCCTGTAAATATGATTCATGCATTAATGAATTATACACTAAATGTCATATAGCAGTAAAAATCACATACCAAGCAATAAATATGATCTTATTGCGACGACCTTCGCCAAGTTTTTCATAATCAAAATCGTAAACAGCGAAATATGGAACATTTTTTCTAGTAATTTCTGTATAAAATTTCTCATAAGATTCTTTATGACTAGTTCCATCATCTTCATCTAACGTTGTTGTTTCCACTGCCTTATCAATTACAAAATTTTTTTTATCATCAGAAAATTTGTACAAAATGTATTTGTACATCTTTTGTAATTTTAGATTGGAAAAAATATCCACGCATTCATCGGATACTGTAACGTCTAAACTAGGCTAAGAAAAAAACATCAGGGGGAAAAAAAATTAGGGAATGAAAAGAGAAAATTAGCGAGATTTAAAAATAATTTTGTAACGATAGAATTTATTTGTAAAAAGTGTACATGTACCATTTTGAGATGAACGAAATTACTAGGATTCTACAGATATTTTTTTGCGTCCCTTATATATTTATATATTTTTCATGAAGTATTGTTCTGTTATCAATGGATCATGATTTTGAATAATACAATTGTTGCCGAGTGATTGATTATATGAGTGTCGCCAAGTGAAAGCCAAGAGGTCTAAAAATATAATTCTTTATATATCGGAATGCGTGTTATGATCTATTCGACTAGAATAAACAATTGTATTCACATATTATATAGTATTAATATCATATTAATATTATTTAAAGCCACATTTCGTTGTTTAAAGAATTCTATTTTTAGACTTCTTGGTTTTCACTTGGTAGCACTCGTATAATATAGTGTATTGTTATTAACTTAGCCAGTATTATTTATACTCCTCCAGAGCAGGGCTAAAACGACACATAGTAAATGCCTGCCATTCAATAAGTGTCATTCTTGATTCACATTATATTATAATTTTGATGCAGTATCAAGAAAGATACTTTAAACAATAAGCAATGGCGCAGTAAATGGCTGACATTTACTATGTGTCGTTTTAGCCCTGCTCCAGAGCTATATTACGAGTGGTTAATTAACTTTGATAGAAGAGTTAAGAGGACTTACCATTATTATTCTTTGATGAGATAATTAGATTAAATGAAATCGTAAATTCATCACATGGGACACGAGTGTGATGCTAAATCATCACATAGATATAATTAGAATACATCGAAAAAAAGATTAAGGCAAATAAAAAATATAGAACGAAATGAAGCTTTTTGTTCAAATTGAATTAATTAAAAGTGCAATCGATTTTCAAAGAAACATGTTTCGTACGTAGGTCAACCAATTCTTTGGCAACATAATACTTTGCAAATTGCGCATACTCGGATAATTCAATATATATATATGTGTGTGTATATATATGAGTATCGCTAAAAGATGACTTATATTTAAATTTTGGAGGTTTCTTTTAGCGACACTCATATATATCTTTTACAAATTAGATATTTCCTTGCATTTTATGGATCAGGAAATTAATTAATGGATCAAAATTGGGCAAACATTTAATGTAGAATCCGGTTACCCGGAATTTCTGTTAATTGATTGTTTCGAATAAAGTTGCATGCGTTGTTTAGAGAGTATGAAATTTATATACTAAAACTTTTATAGTGCGTATGTACAATACAATTATAATATCTGATATGTGTATATGTAATAAATAAAAATTTCTAAGAAAGCTAAATAAACGCTAATCGAAATTTAAATTAGAACTTACACATAAGAAAAAAGACAATATTAATTATCATTTACCAGAGTAACACATGGATTTTCAAATGAAAAATCAAAAAGTGGAAATGGCATAAAACAATATTATTAGAGTATATGATATGAGTGTTGCTAAAAGAAAACTCGAAAATTTAAATATGACTTATATTTAAATTTTCGGGTTTTCTTTTAGCAAAACTCATATGAAGGATCTACTGAAAATGTTAAAAATTAAGTTCGTAATTTGAATGTTGAAACAAGCAAAAAAAAAAAAAGAAAATAAGGTTGCACATTTCAAAGAACAACCTCTTTGCATTAATCGCAGATATTTATAAATTTATTTTATTCAAAGTCAGATTATTATGTTCAAAATAAATTTCTATTACTTTTTTAATTATAAAATTGCCTTCTCGTTGTTCCATAGTACTCATAGCACTTGTTCATATCGATTATCGATAAAACGATAATATCTACCTACTACAGTATACGAACATTTTTCATAAACCATATATATCTGCTAGGTTTATCTCGCGCGAAGACACTCTAATATTAACTATATCTGTATTGTTATAACCAGTGTTGGTACACTGATGCATTACTATACCATTACTATACGAAATAAAGCAAATATTATTTTAATAACATTTTTTTTTCTAAATCTACATATAAAGTTTATCCAAATGAAGTAGTGGAACAATGGTGCAGATGAATTTGCCAATGATAAACAAAAAGATTAACACTGGTTATGAAACACATGAAAATGTAATGGTTTTAGATCATGGGCAGACATTCGTATGATTGGTTAATTTTTGTAGATCTACCCGTGATTTCCCGTGATCATTAACCAATCAAA